GTCACACACTCTCTGCAACTCTGAGGACTAGGGGAAAGGCACGCTGTGCTCTGGGCAGCACAGAGGGCTTGCTTCCCTGGCGCTGCCTCTTCTGCCTGCGGCCTCACCTCTTCCAGGAGCATGCAGCCAGCCCCACCCAACCTTGCCCAGGGGCCTACAAAGGCTGTTGGCGCCCCTGCTTACATGCAAATAAAAATCTAACACTGCTGAACAAAGAGGAAAAACCATGCAGGTGACATGCCAAGATTCCATGCTAAATATTAATCTGGGGCTTTTAAAAAACCAAACAAACTTACAATTTAAAGAGACTGAATATCTAATGCAGTGACTTCAAAGACACTAGAAAATAGAAACCTACCTTGTGATGGGATGTACAAACTGGATAGGAAGCAGTTAAAGATCTACTTTGGGCCAAAGCAACCCCACGCCACCACATCTGAAAAGCACTCATGGGCTGGCGGAGGAGCTTGAAAGGGGAGCAGAGCAGCTCAGTCACCTGTGGAGGTGAATAGACTTACATGCTTCCTGACTTAGAAGGAGCTTTTAGGGAGCTAAAGCTCTCTGGGGCTCTGCTAAGGGCAAAAATGACTTTGGATGATTGCACGGTCTGGGCTCTGTCCTTTTATTTGTTTCATTTCTATGTCTTTGTCCTTGATGGTAGGAAACAATGGGTCACAGTGACACCCTTCTGGGTGTGCAGAAACTTGCTATCCACAAGAGGACTCTGGATTGAAACCCAGTGGAGAAGGTGAATCCAAGGCTACGTCTAGACTACATAGCTCTGTCGATGGAGCCGTGTAAAATAGTTTATTTGGCATAGTCAAAGAAGCGGGGATTTAAATAATCCCCACTTCATTAAAATAAAAATGGCCACTGTGCTGTGCCAACGATCAGCTGATCCGACACACTGCTGCAGTCTAGACGCGGCACGGTCGACAAGGGAAGCCTTTGTTGACCGCTCCGGTAAGCCTCATTTCACAAGGCATAGTGGAGAGGTCGACAAAGGCTTCCCTTGTCGACCGCGTTGCGTCTAGACTGCAACGCTGTGCCGGATCAGCTGATCGTCGGCACACTATGGTGGCCATTTTTATTTTTATGAAGCAGGGATTATTTAAATCCCCGCTTCTTTGACTATGCCAAATAAACTATTTTACATGGCTCCGTTGATGGAGCCATGTAGTCTAGACGTAGCCCAGGTTCCCCTGCAACATCTGTATTGGGCTGAAGGTGAATATCTACCACAGATACAGGGGAATCTGGATTTGGAAGACCCTATTACCTGTTAGGTCAAGACTTTTGGCCTGGTGAAGCCTGACACGCTAGCCTGACACCAGGAGCTATCCTTTATTGGACTTCCTGTATACCCAGAAATGGGTGGATGCAATTCATGGCCTAGCCCAGGGGTGGGCAATAATTTTTACATGGGGGCCACTTAAAATGTTTTGAAGTAGCCCCAGGCCACCCCGGAAGGGGTGGGCTACCCCAACTCCAGACCATGATTGGTCTGGGGGTGGTGGAACCCCTTTGCCCCCCCTCCCCACTAGCATCCATGCCCTAGAAGAGGCTTGGCACAATCCCCCATCCCCAGGCCAATCAGGGCCTGGGGGCAGGGGAGCGCAGGAAGCCTCCTCCCACCCTGCAAGGAGCACATGAAACTTTGAATTGCTGCGTGCTCCTTGCAGGGCCAGGGCAGGAAGAAGGAAGCTTCATGCAGCTCCCCCAGCCCCAGGCCCTGATTGGCCTGGGGATGGCGGAGCGTGTGAAGCCTTCTCCACTCTCCCCCCACCCTGCGAGCACCACGCGGCACTTCAAAGCACCACATGTTCTCATCAGGGTGGGAGAAGGCTTTGTGCGCTCCTCCGCCCCCAGGCCCTAATTGGCATGGGAGCAGGAGAGCAGCAGGGCCTCCGTGGGGCAGATCCACGCACTTAGCGGGCTGGATCTGGGCCACAGAGGCCCTTTTGCCCACCTTTGGCCTAGGCAGAAATCTGAGTAACAGGAAGATGCTCCCTGTTGCAAGCTAGAGCAGTCGTCACCAGGAAGGAAATGAGCCCCTGCTATGACCAATGGGCAGAGCCTGCTGAGTGAGCCCCTTCATATGCTTGCTAGTCAGATGAGTGGAGTTTATAGCGTAGATTATTTACTACTTATTGCAGGAAAAGCCACAGTTTGGCTAGCTGTTGACCATGATTTTTGGCTGTAGCCAGGCCTGCCGATGGAGAGGGGCAGGAAGGAGGACAAAAAGGGCAGTTACCCTGGGATCTGGTGATTTATAAGGACTCAGGTCTCCTAGCTCCTGTTACTGCAGTAGTGATGGTGGTGGCTGGAGTTCTGGGCCCTTTAAATTGCTGCTAAAGCATCATGCTGTGTGCTTTGTGCGGCTCTGAGGACTGGGAGAGGAGCCCCGCTGTGCTCTGGGTGGTGCAGAGGACTGTCTGTCTGATGCCTGCTCCCTCCAACCGATGTCCCACCCCTTCCTGGAGTGTGGAGCTGGTTCCCTGCCACACCTTGCCCAGGGACAAATTTGCCATGAAATTTGAGAATATCTTGCAAAAGATCAAATAAGTATTTTCCATGATGTTGTTCAAGGGGAATGAAGTGAAGAAATCACTCAACCACATTTCCATCACATAAGGAAACACCACTGTAAGCTGGTCAGTTTAACGACTATCAAGGAATCAATTGATATTGATTCCATAATACTTTGCCTTCTTGATTTCAGATATTATCTTCACCATAACTTTGGATCCCAATATATCAATAAATTCATTGCATTTAGTTGATGAAAGATAAGACACATTCCCTCTTTCTGTATTGCCTTGTTGTCGCATGTGTTCTAAGAGAAATGGATCAAATTTGGTTAAAAGTTCCATGCAACCAAGGTCGTTTCCATTGTTAGGGCAGCGGTGCACTTCAGTGTCCCCAAGAAAGGCTAAACCTCATTCAGCAAGGAATCTTATTACAGCAACTATTCTCTTTCGGTCTTCAGTCCAGTATTTACAGGATCTTACCTTCATCTTCTCCAGTTCTGCGTCAATTCTGGCAGACTTCTGATACTGGAGCATCATTGACAGTGCACCAAGATGATCCTTCCACTGCTCATGAGAAGTTATTCTAGTGACTGCATTTTTCCAATCCTTATACATTGATTAGAGTAGTCACTGACACAGAATAGTTTGCACATCTAGCAATGCACTTTACCAATGTCAGCAGTTGCAATGTTATTGTCACTTTGTTGATCCCAGTATAGAATAGAGAGATGAGGTAGGTGAGGTAATAATTCGTATTGGACCAACTTCTGCTTGTGGAAGATACCATCTTTCAAACTGCATACCTCAAGCTATATAGCTTGAAAGCGTGTACCATCCACTAACAGAAGCTGGTCCCATAAAAGATATTTCTTCACCTCATATCCTATCTCTCTCAAGCATGTTAGTAGCACTTAGGCTCCTTGATGTGGAGCAGCTACCAGCTCTAGGAGACCCAGCTTCAGGAAGGCTTCCCATGTGGAGTAGGGAGCTTTCAGATAATTTAACCCCAGTAACATTGCCTAAGTAGAGAGAGAACAGATGATTAGAGAGACTTCTGCTTAGGACCGAACTTAAGTCCAGGACCAAGTACCATTCTAGATCATCTCTGGCAGGTGTTTATCTAATTTGCTCTTAAATATCTTCAGTGATAACCCTTTCTAGGTAATTTATTCCAGTGCTTAACCACCCTGATAGGACTTTTTTCCTAACGTCCAGCGTAAACCTCCTTGTCTTCAATTTAAGCAGATTGCTTCCTGTCCTGTCATCAGAGGTTAAGGAAAATAATTTTTCTCCCTCCTCCTTGTAACACCCTTTTAGGTACTCGAAAGCTGCTATCATGTCTCCTCTCAGTCCTCTCTTTTCCAAACAAAACACACCCAGTCATTCATAATTGTTTAATGAATAGCATTTACAAACATATTTGAAACAGATGATCATGAATTGTTTATCATGGGTGTTATTGCATGTTAGTCATTTGATATCTGTTTTTTCATGAAATAACCCAATAAGGCTGAGCCAAGGATTCCTGGAGCACTTGACCCCCGACCTTGTTGTGGCCAGCTAGGGCAGGGACTCGGGTGTTCCCGCTCCAGGTGCTCTCTTTGCACTGGACATTTCCCTGGTCCATTGCTCATTGCAAACAGCTCAAAGCAAATACAATTTATTAAACAGCAACCAATTTGAAAAAGAATAAGGTAAAATGGGAGGTTAAAGGAAACACATCACCCCTCTGTGGTATGGGCACATCACAAACCGCCATCTCTGGAATGTAAGGGAAGTTCACAGTCTGTTCCTCACATGTCCCAGGCCTCTTTCTCAGGCCCTGGCTGTGCTGCAGGGATTCTGTGGGTTAGACACTTGCTCTGCTAGTGGCCACCCACCTTCAGGCTGTAGGTGACAGAGCCCTTCTTCCAATTATCAGCCTCCAATCGGGGTTATGATCTCTCTCCAAGTCTGGCCTGCAAGAACCCTATGCTGGGCTTCTGCCCAGAGCCCCCCTCACTCCCTCCAGCAGCTCACCACACCCAACTCCAGACTGTTCTAGCCCCAACTTCAGCTCTGTTCTCTGCTGCTCTGTCTCTAGCTCCCTAGGTTGCATCTTTGGTCCTTCTGGCTCTGGTTGCTCCTCCTAGCACAGGATCTGTTCCTGGGGTCTAAGGACCCTGATTTCCTATTAGCCAGTCCCCTTTCCTTTGGTACTAGGAGCTAGCTAACTAAAAACCCTACTGAGTGTAAGGATCCAACAGTCCCCTTACATCTGCATGAGAATCTGATATGAGCAAAAATTCTTCCACTGCTTCAAATGAGTCCAGTGTTTTCTTTGTGAGTTTCAATCAGAGAATAAAGTGCATATTTTCTTATAATTGCCCCTTTTGAAAATAGACTTTTTCCAGAGAAACATCATCCCTGTTCCTGTGAATCAGTGTTCGTGTTTTGGCTATGAGAATGTCTTTTGCTGCTTTTCCACAGGGGAAAAAAAAAAACATTTGGGACCAGCCTGCATGAGGTGCCTCCTGCCTGTTCAGTCTCAGGTATGCGATCAGCTCCATTGATTCCTGTGGGTAAGCATTGCTAAGCATAAGAGCAGCAGGGCTGAATCCTTGAACAGAGGCTGTAAAATATTTTGCTTTTTGTGAAGCCTTCAGAATAAAAGTCTAGTGGTGTTGCTCCATTTTTCTCATAGTTTGAGAAACCTGGTATTATCAGTGACATCGTTATAATGACTCAACTTGAACAAAGTGCTTGCCGCTGGAATTTGGCATACAAGCCCTCAATCCCTCCAATGCGAAGGGCACAGTCCGAGGGGATTCTTTTCATTCTCTTCACTAGGCTTTGAATCAAGCTCTTAATTTTTAATAGACCAGTTCCAAAAGATGTTTGTTCACTTATTGAAGGGTGGGAGGGAGAGTGCACAACAATAAATGCCTAGAAGTTAGGTAGAAATGTTTTACTGTGCTTTCCTGCCCTACAAATGGCATTCAGCAAAATAATGTTTATCTGGTGAAACGCTGATCCATAAATTGGGACTACATGGTCTTCTGTTGGGGATAAAGTGCACAGGAGTCCATGTGAAGTTTCCACAATATTCTTCCTGCAGGTAGAAGACTTCTGAGAATTCATTCTGGAGATGGGACCTAGAGCTACTTGCTTGTATATTTCAGCGCAGTCATTAGGAAAGTTGGCTTTTATGTAGAGCTCTCTGGTCATGTCTCTAGTTTCTGGAGGTAAGTATCTTGCCATTTATTCTTACCATTTTTACAGGAACTCAGTCAAGTTACCAGTGTATGTCATTAGAAAGTACAATCTAACTGTCTATTTACTGATCTGTGAGGTGTGTCTACACAGCTAAGTTATTTCGGAATAATGGCTGTTATTCCAAAATAAGTATGCAAGCGCCTACACACCAATTCCATTATTTTGAAATAATTTAAAATAATGGATGGCTTATTCCGAGTTCTGTAAACCTCATTCTATGAAGAATAATGCCTATTCCGAAATAGATATTTTGAAATAAGGCGTGTGTAGATGCTCCACTTCTGCTATTTTTAAATAGCCCCTCACCAGGGCCATTCTAAGTTATTTCTGCTGGGGCTCATACCATGTCCACATTAGGGAAGCTTGCCTCGGTCTAATTTTGAGGCTTCTCTGCAGGCTTCTCTGGCCTGCATATTTATACCTGCCTCTGGAAAAATTCCACTACATGCATCTGATGAAGTGGGTCTTTTCCCACGAAAGCTTATGCTCCAATAAATCTGTTAGTCTATAAGGTGCTGCAGGACTTCTTGTCACTTTTGCAAATCCAGACTAACCAAGCTACCCCTCTGATACTCTGCAGTGTAGAGATTCTATTTCAAAATAAGCTATTTTGGAATAACTATTCTGGAATAGCTTATTCAGAAATAACTGTGTTGTATAGAGAGAGCCTGAGAAATAGACTGGCTGGGCTCAAATCAAAGACTGAATAATAGATAGAGGTAATGGCTAAACTAATGGCTAAGCTCTAGGGCACTGGTTACAAAATGGTTCAAAGTCACTGTGAACATTATTAGCTCATACCTATGCAGTGAAATGAGTTTGTCATATCATTCCTCTTTCTATTGGACAGGTATCTCCACCACACAATTGCTGTCACACTTGGCTGCAAATGACACCTATGTTAGCAGTCTCAGTAGAGAGGCCAAATATTGAATGATCATAGTCCTGAGCCATTCCCTGGGCTCTGAGACTAAGGCTGTTGTGCATTGCTAGGGTGGTGAAGCAACCTGCTATTCATGCCATATCTATCATAGAGAACTTTACTTTCCAGAGCTATCAATATCTTTCATAAATGCTATTAAATTAATTGAGAAAAAAATCCATAATATTGTTAAATTGGTGGGTTTGCTGAATAATTTATAAATGTTATCAAAAGTGAAATTTAAACACTGGTTTCTACAAAGGTAGATATTGCCTAATGATTTTTTGTGCCCATATTCGCAAGAGACCTGAGCCAACCTCACTGAGATCCAAAAATATCCCTGGAGAAAACTACATCCAGATTTTTAACTCAAGATTGTTTGTCTCAAGTGTACACCTGCTTCCTCAGCCATAACAGCTCTTTTACCCTTATGACACTTACAGTGAATTTTACTCACAATAAATGGCTGTCAAGGTCCATTAGTTTCAAACCACTTTTATAATCTGTGGCATACACAGTGCATATTTAAAACCAGTCTAAATACGAGTATACACAAAGGCTGTGATGGGTGATTAGATTTGGCTAGGAATGCTGTCTCTGAAAGAGTGCTTGTAATTAACAGTGTTAATTTTTAGAAGACAGATGGGGCCAACTTTATAAAGGATCATTTGTATCATTGCATCATGAAGATAATGAACAGAAGAGCTGTGTAAATGGGAGGTCCCTGAAATAGGCATTGTAGAAATAGATTCATATTGTTTATATTTAGTAGTAATTGTAAATATTTGTTATTGCATATGGTCTTGGTAAAGATAGAAATAGGGTCACCATATTTCTCTAAATTGAAAACAGGACCCCTGTTAAGTAGTGATCCCAGGCAGCTCGGACACCCCTGCTTGCCTGACCTCTGCTGTGTGGGGCTGACGGTTTGAGCTGCCCGGCGTTGCCACTTGTCTACGCTGACATTGTGGACATCACAAATTTTTATGGCAAAACTGGACATTCGTCTCATTTGCTATTGCCTGAACATTCCTCTGTGCTCCTCCCTTGGGCAAAAGCAAATGGGACAAATGCCCAGTTTTGTCAAAAAAGTTGTGACATCCATGATGTCAAGTCAGACAAGCAGCAATGTGAGAAGGCTACAAAGAGGACTTTCCCAGCAAAAGTGTGATGCATGGTTATCCCACCTATAACTGCTATAATAAGCAAAATAGGAGCTGCCCGTTTAAAGAATAGGTTGGGGGGCCCAGTGAGTGAGCCACTTTGTTGATAGTGGGGATGCTGGTGCCAGAGGAAGCTGGCCTACAGCTTCAAGGATGTCTCTGTTTGCAAGAAGCTCCTACAATCAGGGGTTTGAATGCCACAGCAAGCAATGGCCTCTTTGGAAAGTGAAGGCACGTGATGAAAGATGTAACAAATTAGGAGATCCAGGGGTGCCAGTAGCCTGTGCTGGCCCCTGGGCAAGGTGTGCATGGGCCAGCTCTGCACTCCTAGATGGGGAAGGGCCTTGGGCAGAAGGGGTGTGACTAGGGCAGCCAGCTTTCTGTGCTGCCCAGAGCATGGTGCCCAACCCTCAGAGCTGTGCAGCATGGAGCTCTGGTGGCAATTTAAAGGGCTCAGGGCTCCAGCTGCCACCACTGGTGCAGTAGCAGTGGCAGTGGCTGGGAGCCCTGGGCCCCTTTGAAGGGCTGAGCACTTGGGTAACTGCTTGCTTTGTCCCTCTTTCCTTGTGGGCGGGCATGAGGAGTTCCACTGAGTCTGTTTGCTCAGGGCCTTTTTGATGGCATGCAAGTAAGCAGGCTACAAAATAGTAAAGGCTGGAAATTTGCTGTTTGAGACTGTTGAATGTCTGTGCCTCTTAGCAGAGCAGGCTCTCCTGCCCAGGGGCAGTCCTAGACTAGCTGCCAGAAACTGGCACCCTGCAATCAGCTCCCAAGCCCCTCAATGATATTGCACCACCATTTGGTGCACCATTTAACTTGGCGCGCTAGGCGACCACCTAGTTCACCTATATGGATGGGTTGCCCCTGCTCCTGCTTGCCACACAACGGATGCAAATTGAGGGTACGATCAAACTACAGCAAGTCACAAAGGCCACAGTGGGTTAATTAAGTATATTCCACAGCATTTAGAGAGCGTATCTGTTTGTTCATTGGAGGATGAGGGAAGGTGTCTAGTACTCCATCTGAATGATCAAGTCTAGGGTCTGATTCAGAAAGGAAAGATCAAAGCAGTGTCAGAAACAGAAAAGCCTCTCTCCAGAGTGGACAGAAGCTTTGCTATTTTGTAAGAACATGAAACAGGTAGCGCTGCAGCAACAAAAAATAAGAAAACTTTAGAGTGAAGCTGATGAAAATACTGCTTCTTTTTGCACAAAAACCCCTTGCACAAAAAGCATCGTTAGAAAATATGCTAATGACATTGTAACTCATGCTAATGAGTCCATCATTAGCATACTGTCTGTCGCAAAAACCTGGTAGTGTAGACAAAGCCTCAGTAGTTAGGGGAGGTGTCTCTACTGCAGAGCAGACCGGTGATGTTGCACAAAAGAACAAGCTAAAAATAGTAGTTGGGAACACACAACTGATAATAGATTAAAGAATAGTTAGCCAGAGACTTAATAGACAGTCTGATTGGTGCAAGAAGGCCAGGATTAAAACTCTGAAGCAATCTGGGGATCTAGAGAGATCTCACATTGACCAAACTAATGCAGATCCTACAAACACATTATTTTGAAGAAAATGCCATTGATCTCTATCAGAAATTAACTAAGGCAGATTTCCTGATGTGTGCAGTGGATTTTCATAAAAAAAAAATTTGTGGCAGTGAAGATAGTATACACTAAAATATCAGCCTGAATTTTGTACAAAGTCAGTTTCTACAGTTTATTTGGACTAGACTGAGACTGCGCAATGAGAATATTGAAACTGACATAAAACTAGTACTTAGAGAATTTAAATGTAGCCAGTGAAATTTTGTTTGAAAAATTGAATACTGCTTGTAGCACTGAAATGGAGCACAAGCAACAATGAATAACCTCAGGACGTCCAAGACCATTGCAGATAAATGCTACACAGCCTGTTTTGAAAGGAGAAATGAAAGATCTCATCACTGTCAGCCATAAACTGTCAAGGCCAAATGTGTTAGTTACTCATGTGGAGCTGAACAGTGACACAGTGGGATAACTAGCAATAGAAATGTTTGCTTTCCCCAAAATCCATGAGTTCTGGGAAGGACTGGAGTAGTTCCCCAAATATACAACCTGGAAAGGACAATTGCTGCAGAAATTCTTTCCAAACTACGAATGGGAAGAATGAATTGTAAGATGTGCTTTTTGCTGCCAATGATAGCACTGCACCATGGGCAGGACAGTGCCGAATGTGAGGTCAATATCAGTATGTGGGAAATAAGAGACTGTCACAACCAGTGGAAAAGGAGAGATCAGCCCTTGTTAATCTTCCTTGTGACTCATAACTGTGGGTCTGATGGCAGGTTGCTTAGACCAGCAGTTCTCAACTTTTCTAGATTCCTGTACTCCTTCCAGGAGTCTGATTTGTCTTGTATGTGCCAAGTGTCACTTCTCTTAAAAACTATTTGCAGGTGGTGTAGTGATTACAAAAGCTTTTTTCATTTTAAGCTGGCAAGACTGAAAGTCAAAACTATCTTTGACAAAGTTCTGTTGGCTTACCTTCTTCAAACGTCATTGCAAATACATTAGCTTCATCCTGTTAATTGACAGTTTCTCTGCAAAAGAAACTCAAAGCTTGGAGTAGATCACTATAGATGTGAATCCAAAAGTAATATATTGCCTGGAAAATTGATGAGAGGTTTTTTTCCAGTCATTTTTAATTTTTTTTTACAATTTTCATTGATGCTTCCAGCTATTCATTTAAAAAATCTACCCATTTTACATTGCAACCACATACACACTATGACAACTATTAATGTGCATGAATGCATCAACAAATGACACAGAGCACATTTAATACAATATGTATATCCACATTACATTACTGCATAATGTAGTGTATAGAGCCATACATATAA